TCAATATCACCATGGTTCTTTAATACTGCCACAATTACCAACTTGAGTTGTTGATAAAAATAATGTGCATAATAACGTGACTTATCTTGCAAAATATTTGCTTTCAGTTCAACTCACCACGCATGTTGCCTGCCTCATCATAATGTTAACCTCTAACCTATTTTATGCTTAATCAAATATTAGTGAATAATTTTTGAATAATTTTTGAAGATTAGCCTTGGGATAAATTCCAGATATTTCCCTAACATGTTCGACTTCAACTAATCATTCAATCACAAATCCATGCTTGCTAAGGTATCTCACAAGAATTGTCATTTTCTCTTCATCAGACACATCGGTAGCCTCTCATCGATCAACAAACTAAACACATTACCTCTTATTTGTTCAGTAATATAGTTCAAAATTATCTAAATAGAAGATAAATAACTCATAGGGAACATCTTTAACTCGTAAGATAACATAAATAGTAGGCAATAGAATGTCATGACGATTGATGAAGTCATCTTTGCAAAATAATTCGCAATTTCTTTCATTACACTAGCCAGGATTAAATCTGCATTCATATCTCCAATATCCCTATGGGGATGAACATAATTAAGTGGTGGCATGTAAAGCCCCTTCATTAAAATATATGCACCTAATCTTATCTTGTTTCCTCTCGTATTTCTTGTGTACTCCAAAATTATCTTCCGATCAACCAGACCGTAATGCTACTCATGGAAAGTAGTTTCTCTTTGAATGGAAAGTCTCCAAAAGACTTCTTACGGAGACATTTGATGAACTTTGACTATGTATGATGGATGACCTTGCAACACTAGCATCATCGTCTAAATCTGATGAGCTATATTCTTTTGGGAAATAAAATTTGATTGCCTAGATCAATGAAAGCTCATGGAATCACCATATAAGTAATTAGAAAACTATGGCTACCGGCTACGGTATACACAACAGAGAGGAGATGCAGGAGATGTGATGAACAGACACCTCGAATTTGGTCTAGGGGGCTTGACGCCACGGACCTGCCCTTGTCGTCTCATCTCTATAGCTGGGGTGTCGATGCGAACGAGAGAATAGATCACGGAGGAGCTAACAGAAAAGCAAAAGGTTGTGCGGTTGGCGGCTGCCGGCTGCCCTATGCGCATGTGACGAACAGGCTGTAAGTCTGGCACAAAGGGAATTCACTTTGTGGGCTTTTGGGCTTCTCACCAAGCGTTGCATTCCAAGTTGATGGATTCAACCCCTATTTTTTATTGGGTTCATGCAGACACTATACGTGTACGTATACACTTGGCCAGGACAAGTCGTTGGGTTCAGCTGAACCCAACGCTCATGTGCTGGCTCCGCCCCTGCGTGTGTGTGTTCACGTGTGGTGCATAGGATGCGTGTGTGTATGGGGCTGTTAGAGACCAGGTCCAGGATGAGCGTGGCGATCGGGAAGGCTCGGCGCGTCGCGTGCTTTGCGGGCGCACGCGGAGGACGCGGCCAGAGCGAGCTGGGTCGTGGGCGCGAGCAGGCAGGGGCGTGGAGAACGTGTCTATCGTGTGCCTGGGTATAAAACCCGTGTGTTGGTCATTGTAACAGTTGGGAGTCGAGTTCGAGCTCGCCGGAAATACACAGGAGCCGTCCGTGCGACAAGGTGTTCGAGCGCCTGGAAATCCCGTGTGTTGCCTCCCCCTGGTTTCTTTCTTGTCTCCGGTGTTCGTCGTGCTCCGGTGGTTCCGTTTCTGCAACAACATTCCCAATCAGTGGGCACGGAGAAGAATGGGCGACGCGAATGAGTACGCGTCCTGAGCCGAGCGTGGTGTACGCGCCGTAGCCTATCTCTGAGTGACATGCATGAAGAATGGGATGGGGCGCGGGCATTCGAAGACCGACGCGGTGACCGCGGCGGCGAGCTCCCACACGTTGCCCTGGATGAGGAGGCGGTGACCATCGAGCAAGGAGTGCTGCACTCCGTAGCCGCCCAACAGGCAATGCCCGAGCTCGCAGAATACGTCGACGTGGCCGTGTGACACCGCACGCGCATACCGCGGCGCCCGAGTGCGTCGAGGTGCTTGCGGACGGTCTCTTTGCAGATGGCGTAAAGGTGTGTGAGGCGCGGCAATCAACCACGTCGTTCATCTCTTCTTATGCTCGTCGGAGTATCGGTGTTTCTGGGTTCGCCATCATCTTCGCCAGCGCCGTGAACAAGTACTGCATTTGCACTACACATGTCATGTCTCATGTACGATGCATGCATGCTTGTATGGTTATTTACAGGGCGAGCGCATCGAGTATGTGCATATGGTGAGTAGCGCTTGATGTTGAGGTCTGTGACGCCGTCTTCCCCGGCGCCGGCATGGCCACAGCAGGCGATTAGCCGGTCGACAAGGTCCGGCAGTCCACGGCTCCCGTCCTGAGCCTCCTGGTGGGACATCAGCCGCTCCAGACCCTGCCCAGCCTCGTCGTCTCAGTTGACGCATCCTCCTGCAGACCCATCTATGCGCTCGGCATCGGCGGAACTAAGTCGTGGACGTTCATGGGGGCCGCCATTGTCATCAGCCTCATGAGGGTAGCCATTGATCCGGGCCGGGATGACCTTTTTCCTGGTGAGCCAAACTGATCTAGGGTCAAGATTGAACGGGATTAAAGATTACAGGCTGCCGATTTCAGGGATTGGAAGATTGAGGTTTGATTTCGACCAGCCGTATAAATTCAAGGTTCAAAATAGACTTTACTCGCCCATCGGACCGCTCGTCTACACGAGACACAGCCGCCGCGTATCCCTCGTCGAGACACAGCCACCGCGTATCCCTCGTCGAGACACAGCCACGTTTTTACTTCAAGAAAACAGAGACAGAGCCGCCCAGGAGCCGGGTCAAGAATTCAAGCTTCAAGGTATGTTTCATCTCGACCAGACCAGTAATCACTATTAGGATTACTCAATACTGAGTACTTCTGTACCTAGTGACATACTAGTTGGTTTTAGTAGCAACAAATGGTTCAGTTTCCTGAATGTTAATGCAGTTGCAATCCATGCACTTCCCATTCAAGTTTCTACTACGAGATAGAAAGTGCACATAGGGTCAGGAAATGTCATCTACCTTGCATATTCATTGGGTTAGGATACATACACACTTGCCCAGTAAATCGACAAACAATGTCGGCATGCTCCAATTGGGATGCAGGTTAATCAGATTACATCATCTAGACTAGGAATCTAAAAGCAGGGACATCTAAGCTAAAACGAACTACTGACCACACTGATAATGAATCACACTGGGGGATGCGTTTGGCTGCTCTGATGGCCCTCATGCCGCTGACGACGGCGACGATCGGACCACATTGACAGCGTCATGTGGATAGCAAAGTAGCTTAGAACGGCAACTATGAGCATAACGACATACATAGATGTCTTCCACACCCTGGTTGAGCCAGCTGCATAGGCCACTAGGAGAGCAAACAGATCCACTAGGATCGTCCAGTTCAGCACCCTCAGCGACCATTTCTCTCATTCTTCTTTCTTCTTGTTTGGCAGCCAGTGCGGTAGCAACATCATGATGACGACAATGGAAGCCATGAAGGAAAAAGAGTTGTTGTGGAAGAAGACGAGGTACCGGGGCCTCCTGTTATCATGCATCACAGGGTCGCCCGCCTCGTACCCATTGCCACTGCTCTGCCACGCTCCGCCCGGCGGTTCCAGGCCAAGCCTGGTAGGCTACACTTGCCACCAAGATGCCTAGCAGCATCAGGTACTTGCGCCTTGCGTGCTTCTTCCTTTCTTCTTCGTCCTCCTTCCTTTCTTGTTCTTCTTCGTGCTTCTGTTCAATGGATATGGATGACACAGCAGCAGCTGAATTGACGTTTCTCTTCAGCTCCCTCATCAAAAACACTAGCAGCATTATGGCAGCAACAAAGAGGACCATGGCCACGAACACGAAGATGTAGATGGATGTCTTGATGTGCTGCGTGCTTCCGGCGGTGTAGGCCCCCATCAAACCGAACAAACCCACCGCCGTACAAACAGATAGTGCATTGCTTCGTATGGCTGGCCTGTACAGATTGGGGTTCACCAAGAGTGCGATGGACAGCATGAAGCTCGCAGAGTTGCAGTAGAAGAAGACCTTGTAGCGGCGTGGGAAGTTGTACAGGAGGACCGGGTCACCAGCGTGGTACCCAAGCTTTTCATCCTGGAGCAGGAAGCCACCTGGAGGGGTGAGGCCGGCTTGGTAGGTAATGGTCGCGGCCAAGATTGCAAAGAGGAGCAACCGTTTGCGCCTTTTCTCCAGCAACTGACTTGCTTTGTCGTCGTCTTCTTTTTCCTTGTAGTTCAGCGTGAAGAAGACGATATGGATGACCACATAGGCTAGGACAGCGCCTGCCAAAGCCATGTCGTTAATGGAGGTGTTCACGTCCCGACAGCTCCCGGCGGCATATGCGCCGATGAGGCCAAATAGGTTGAGTATCATGGCTGCCTCCAGCACATGGTGCTTGACCAGAATCTCCTTCTGGACTAGGACGATGGCCACCAAGGAGGCCACGAAGGCAACCGAGTTGCAGTAGAAGAAGGCCTTGTATCGCCTAGGATTGATGGTGAGAAGGATGGGGTCACCGGCCATGTGTCCGTCGGTGTTGTCCTGCCAAAGGCCACCTGGCGGGTCCAACCCTGCTGTGTAGGTGATGGTGGCAGTAAGAGTGGCGAGAAGTAGTACAAGAGAACGAGCCTTGTCCAGAGCCTCTATTGTACTGCAGAGAAGCAGAAACAGAATTCAGTTCAGTTTGCAGAGAAAACAGTGTAATTGCAAACAGAGGGAAGGAGGAAACACAATGTTCAGTTTGCAAATGTGCTCCTTACATGGCATTATCACCAGTCTGTTGAATTATCATCAGTCTGCTTAATTTCTTCAGAGTTCTGATGCTGAAGCGTTGGTAGCGAAAGAAACAAGAAGACAGGGATTTTGACGCTGAAGCGTAGATTGGGATGATGTGTGCCATTGCCAGAACAGCACCGACCAGGCTGACCACGTAGGCGGTGTTATCGATCTCCCTGCAGCTGCCCGCGACGTATGCGGCGACGAGACCGACCAGGGCGATGACGATGCACCCGCAGAGTATGCGAGACCGAACCATCTTCTTCTTGCCGAGCTTCTTCCCGTCAATGATGAGCACCATGGTGATGAGCAGGGACGCCACGAAAGCCGTGGTGTTGCAGAGAATGAACACCATGAGGCGTGGGCTGTGCTTGTCCTTGAGAATGGCGTCGCCTGGGTGGTGGCTGCCCCCGATGCTGTCCCAGAAGCCGCCCGGCGTGCTCAGCCCGGCGACGTACGTGATGCTCACCGCGAACGTCGCCAGGAGCATCAGGACCTTGCGGAGCCGCTCTTCCGCTTTCAGCTTCTTCAGGGCCTTGCGGCTGCGGAGCCGTTCTTCGACCACGGGGTCAGAGCTGAGGATGGGGGCTGGAATCGTGTGGGCGCCGGAGTCGGCATTGGGAGTGGGCATCACTCCAGTGGAGCCGGTGTTGATGTTGGAGACGGGCATCCCGTCATCGCAGCAGTTGACAGGGGCGGGTATCGTCCCACTGCCGGAGTCGGGATTGGGAGTGGGCGTCGCACCGCTGTCTCTGGAGCCGGCGGAGGGGGCACCGGAATCAGAGTTCTTGTCCCAGTAGCCCATCAACTTGAGAACGAGGATGTAGTGGAAGAAGATGGCCACCAACACTGCCGAGTAGATGGTTGAAATCTTGTCCCAGCACGTGCCTGCCCCGTACGCGGCCATGAGGCTGAGGAGGTCTACCACCATGACGCCCCGCAGCGGCACGACGACCCATCGGCTGTCCTTCCCCTTCTTGTCGTGCCGGATGGCGAGGACGAGGATGAGGACGATGACCTCGAGCGAGGCGGCGAAGGTGGTGGCGTTGCAGTAGAGGAAGGCGAGGTAGTGGTGGTAGTGGGTGTAGCGGATGATGGGGTCGCCGGCGGGTTGGCCGTCGTGGGCAGCCTGCCACACACCTCCTGGCAGGTTGAACCCCGCGGTATAAGTGATGGTTGATAACCCACAAGTATAGGGGATCGCAACAGTTTTCGAGGGTAGAGTATTCAGTCCAAATTTATTGATTCGACACAAGAGGAGTCAAAGAATATTCTCAAGTATTAGCAGCTGAGTTGTCAATTCAACCACACCTGAAAACTTAGTATCTGCAACAACGTATTTAGTAGCAAAGTAATATGATAGTAGTGGTAACGATAGCAAAAGTAATGTTTTGGTATTTTATAATGATGATAGCAATAGCAATGGAAAAGTAAATAAGCAAAGAACAATATATTCTCTAGGAAAGTTAGTAATGTAATGTAGGCATGTATTTCGAATATAGTCATACGTGCTTATGGAAAAGTTCTTGCATGATATCTTTGATCCTACCCTCCCGTGGCAGCGGGGTCCTAACGGAAACTAAGGGATATTAAGGTCTCCTTTTAATAGCGTACCGGAACAAAGCATTAGCACATAGTGAATACATGAACTCCTCAAACTATGGTCATCACCGGTAAGTATCCCGATTATTGTCACTTCGGGATTAACGGGTCAATAACACATAATAGGTGACTATATACTTGCAAGATAGGATCAAGAACTCTCATATATTGATGAAACATAATAGGTTCAGATCTGAAATCATGGCACTCGGGCCCTAGTGACAAGCATTAAGTATAGCAAAGTCATAGCAACATCAATCTCAGAACATAATGGATACTAGGGATCAAACCCTAACAAAACTAACTCGATTCCATGATAGATCTCATCCAACCCATCACCGTCCAGCAAACCTACGATGAAATTACTCACGCACGGTAGTGAGCATCATGAAATTGGTTGAAGGAAATATACGCTAAAGGCAATAATAAAGTTATTATTTATTTCCTTATATCATGATAAATGTTTATTATTCATGCTAAAATTGTATTAACCGGAAACATAATACATGTGTGAATATATAGACAAATAGTATGTCACTAGTATGCCTCTACTTGACTAGCTCATTGAATCAAAGATGGTTAAGTTTCCTAGCCATAGACATGAGTTGTCATTCGATTAACGGGATCACATGATTAGAGAATGATGTGATTGACATGACCCATTCCATTAGCTTAGCACCCGATCGTTTAGTATGTTGCTATTGCTTTCTTCATGACTTATACATGTTCCTATGACTATGAGATTATGCAACTCCCGTTTATCGGAGGAACACTTTATGTGCTACCAAACGTCACAACGTAACTGGGTGATTATAAAGGTGCTCTACAGGTGTCTCCAAAGGTACATGTTGGGTTGGCATATTTCGAGATTAGGATTTGTCACTCCGATTGTCGGAGAGGTATCTCTGGGCCCTCTCGGTAATGCACATCACTTAAGCCTTGCAAGCAATGCAACTAATAAGTTAGTTGCAAGATGATGTATTACAGAACGAGTAAAAAGACTTGCCGGTAACGAGATTGAACTACATATCGAGATACCAACGATCGAATCTCGGGCAAGTAACATACCGATGACAAAGGGAACAAACGTATGTTGTTATGCGGTCTGACCGATAAAGATCTTCGTAGAATATGTAGGAGCCAATATGAGCATCCAGGTTCCGCTATTGGTTATTGACTGGAGACGTGTCTCGGTCATGTCTACATTGTTCTCGAACTCGTAGGGTCCGCACGCTTAACGTTACGATGACAGTTTCATTATGAGTTTATATATTTTGATGTACCGAAGGTTGTACGGAGTCCCGGATGTGATCACGGACTTGACGAGGAGTCTCGAAATGGTCGAGACATAAGGATCGATATATTGGACGACTATATTTGGACACCGGAAAGGTTTCAGGTGAGATTAGGACAATACCGGATCACCGGGAGGTTATCGGAACCCCCGGGAGGTATATGGGCCTTATTGGGCCTTAGTGAAAAGGAGGGGAAAGGAGCAAGGGAGGGGGCGCGCCCCCCAAGCCCAATCCGAATTGGGAGGGGGGGGCCTTCCTTCCTCCCTCCTTCCTCTTCCTTCCCTCTCCTACTCCTAATAGGAAAAAGGGGAGTCCTACTCCCGGTGGGAGTTGGACTCCCCCCTAGGGCACGCCACCCTCCTTGGCCGGCCCCCTCCTCCACTCCTTTATATACGGGGGCATGGAGGCACCCCATAGACACAACAGTTGATCATTGATCTCTTAATCGTGTGCGGTGCCCCCCTCCATCATAGTCCTCGATAATATTATAGCGGTGCTTAGGCGAAGCCCTGCGACGGTAAAACATCAAGATCGTCACCACGCCGTCGTGCTGACGGAACTCATCCCCGACACTTTCCTGGATCGGAGTCCAGGGATCGTCATCGAGCTGAACGTGTGCTAGAACTCGGAGGTGCCGTAGTTTCGGTGCTTGATCGGTCGGGCCGTGAAGACGTACGACTACATCAACCGCGTTGTGCTAACGCTTCCGCTTCTGGTCTACGAGGGTACGTAGACAACACTCTCCCCTCTGTTGCTATGCATCACCATGATCTTGCGTGTGCGTAGGAAATTTTTTGAAATTACTACGTTCCCCAACATTGGTGATGGAGGATGGTTGATGATGACGATGGCGACGGATTCCCCTCTCCGGAGCCCCGAACGGAGTCCAGATCAGCCCTCCCGAGAGGTTTTAGGGCTTGGCGGCGGCTCCGTATCGTAAAACGCGATGAATTCTTCTCTCTAATTTTTTTCTTCCCGAAACCAAATATATAGAGTTGAAGTTGAGGTCGGAGGATTTCCAGGGGGCCCACGAGGTAGGGGACGCGCCCTATGGGGGCAGGCGCGGCTCCACCTTCGTGGACAGGTGGTGGGCCCCCTGGTCTTCATCTTTTGTAAGGATTTTTTATTATTTTTGAAATGTTGTTTCATAAAGTTTCAGGTCATTTCGAGAACTTTAGTTTCTGCACATAAATAACAATATGGTAATTCTGCTGAAGACAGCGTCAGTCCGAATTAATTCCATTCAAATCATGCAAGTTAGAGTTCAAAACAAAGGCAAAAGTGTTTGAAAAAATAGATACGACGGAGACATATCAATAGTCACCATCATGGCCGCCAACAACAGGAGGTACTTCCGCATGCTGTACTCTCATGGCTGCATGGGTGGCTTTGCTGGCTGCCCTGGCCCGGGCTGATCCGTTGGCACTACTGTCCGCAGAGATGCTGCCTCCGGCTAGCCGGGCTGACCCATTGGCACTGCCGGCTGCACCTGAGCCATCGCCGGGTGCAGAGATGCTGCCTCTGGCTGGCTGGGCTGGTCCATTGGCACTACCGGCTGCGTCTGCGCCGCCATTGCCGGCTGCACGGGGGCTGAGCCATCCACTGGCACTGGGGGCTGAACCTGCACGGCAGGGACGCCACACTCCATTCTCTCACTCAACAGCTGCCTGTGGTTCCCTTCCTTCATAATTATGATGCAGAACGGCGAAGCAACCATAGAGGAGACACTATTTTGTCTTTTTTTATTATATAAAACGACTCGACTCGGCTCGTCGTCGCCTAGCCGCCCTAGCCTCTGCGCCCTGCGGAGCAATCCCCACATGCGGACTGATGGGTGTCAGGCTCCTTGGAGAAGGGAAAGCAACCAAGTCTTCTCCTGTCAAATAAACTCGTAGTAGTAAGCAGCTCTGGTCTAGTTTTGTAAGATTATCTACAGCAGTGAGTAGCTACTCCGGCCCTAAAATGTATGCGATCATGACCGGTCACCCATCATTTTTTCTGCCTCTCCAATCGTCTTTCTCATATCCGAACTCTCATATCTATACAACCCATGCAAACTTAAAACAGAAAAATATGTAGATCCACACACTAACAACAAACGGACATAATTCAGACATCAATCACATAAGCCATTGGTGAGGTTCGAGTCCTCATCGGAGGAGATGTTGTCGATCATCCTCCCGACCATGCGGTCCTGCGCTTTGGTCTGTCGGGCCGCCTTCACCTTGGCCGCCCTTCCGTTGTAGCCTCGCGCTCCGATTGCTTTATGGTGAGCCGGAACACTTTGGCGTTTCTGTAGTGGAGCTATCGCGTGTCCGTCTTCGCTGTCATGAGGGAGCGTCGGAGGATCTGGTCCTCCAGATCCACCAGCGTGCGGCCAACGCCTCCACCGCTGCCGCCCTCTCCCTCGCCTACCGCCACTCATGGTGTGCGGCCCGCGCCTCTAATTTGGGTGTCCTTGTCTGCACCGTCGTCGGCGTGGGCACGAGGACCCAACAGTGGTCACGGAGAAAGTGGGAGGGGGTCCGGTTGGGTCATCTTGTTTTTGATTGGGCACTGATAGGTCGGGCTTTCTGTAAACAGTGGTTATTTATTTTAGATGTTCGGGAGCTGTTGGAGTTACTCTAATCGGTTCTAGTCTAGTTTTGCTTTTCTGGATGTCTAGGTGTAGATTTTGGTTGGGCAGATGTTTTTTGGCCTGCGCGTGGTTTTCTTTGTTTTTACTACTGTTTTCCTAAGGGCCAGCGTATCATCAAGATTGTAGTCAGTGTCAAATTTGTTTTTACTACACCAAAATGCAGTATGGGCCACAAGTTTGCGTACCGTAGAGCATAGCTCGTCGCAATGCAAGCGGCAGCAGGATCGACGGGAGCAGCGGAAGCAGGGCATGAGCAGCACCGCAGCAGCCCTGCGGCAGTCAGTTTGAATAGTAGTTCGCCTTCTCCTCCCACAAGGATTTAAGACGTGGGATGCAGTGAAAGCAGGTTGTTGGAGGGATCAATGTCCGACTGCAGGAGCTCGCGCGTCTGCAATGGACAAGTGCAGCCAAGCTAAGCGACCATGGAAAATGAACTCCTCTGCCAGAACCGCACCGATGTTCTCCGTGGGGGTACAGAGAACATAATTAAGCACAACAGTGGTCGCAGAGGAACACGGGGAAGCATTGCAAACGGAGCAGTCACCCGTGTGCCGGTGTGCGTACCAGTTCAAGACCAAACAGTAGATTATTGGGTTTGAAACGACATATCTCATGTCTAATCTCTGCACCACTTCCAATAGGTGCTAAATAAATGCGCTTGTAGTTCGCTTATTTGGTCAACTTGAGTTTGTTCTTACATGTTTTTTTTTTCTCTTTTCTTTGGTTTCTCCGGTTTGCTCCGGTATTCATTTTCTTCATTTGTCCATAAAAGGACGATTTTTTTACATAAGTGAACATTTAAAAATACTTGAACATTTTTTATGTGTGAACATTTTAAAAAAATGCTTGAACATTTTCTAAATTGCATAAGCACTTTTAGAAATGTTCATCTTTTATCTTAAAAAAGATTTGCCATGTATTAGAAAAATATTCATCCTAGTTGGGGGAAAATGTTGACATACACACAAGAAATACGTTACTAGTCCATGAACTCAAATTGATTGCACATTTTAGGCCAACAACTCGAGAAGTGATCAAATTTAGTCTGTAAACTCGTTGATTTGATCAAATAAGGCCAAAACCGAGCCAACTGGGAAAACCCGGCCATGTGGATGCCATGTCATCGTTCCTTTGACAGCTCGTGAATTCACTATTCTTTAGAGGTCTATTTGGAAAGTGGTCGGTTCTTTTTCTCATAAACCATGCTAACGTTGTTTAGAGTGTAAAAGTATTAAAAAAATGTTCTTGGGCAGAGGCCGTGGGTTTGAAACGGAGGAGGCAAAAAGGATAGCAACTACGTAGCTAGAGAGAGGGAGTGAGAATGAAGGAAATGATAGTTTGTGAGGGATTGGATGTTGAAGTTTAGAGCATACACAACTCCTACAGTTTCATCATAGCTTATGTTGCTTGGAGCAAGAAGATTTCCGCAACCCCAAAGATTTGAGTGTAATTTTTTTTATGTATGTGTGTGTAAATAAAACTACGTGCAAAGGAGATGTGGCAGTGCTTGTGGCTAACTGAAGTAATTAACCAGGCAACAGTAGTGGACAGATCAGGGTCCGTGGTTTTGGAGTTTCTGCTGAACTTGTCGGATATCCCAATGGTGCTCGAACCAACTCTGAAGTTTAAGCAGGTTGTGACAGTGGCTTCCTGATATTTATGGTGGATCGGGCGACGCATTACGCATAATGAGACAGTCCCTCCGATTATCCGTTGGCCCATATCAGTGTTAGCGATTGCAAGCAATTATCACAAAGCCTTCTCTAAGCCAAGTGGAACACAAGACAGAAAATGCAGTAAACCTGATCCAAAATTTGTGAAAGTAAATGTGGACGCAGCGTTCTATGAGGAAGAGGGAATGGGAGCGATCTCAGCTATTCTAAGAGATGTATATGGTAATTTTATTGCTGTCAAATGCAGGTTTGTCCCTTTTGCAGTTGACGTAGTCACAAACCGAAGCGATGGCCATGAAAGACTTGAGCTAACTAATTCTCTCGGATACAATCGCCTTGAGGCGGAGTCTGATTCTATGCATATGATCAATTTTTGTACTGGACAATCTAGATGGTGGGATGCAGCGACGGCAATCTTTGCGGAGTGTGTGGATACGGCTACGGCTATAGGAATGGTCGTCTATAAACATTGTTATTGGTCCGCTAATCAAGCAGCTCATGTGTTAGCGAATCATAATAATTGTAATAAGATCTCTTCTTTTTGGTTGCACGAGCCATCTGACATTTTGGTCAGCAAGCTCATAGATGATATATTTATTATTTAATCATAATAAAGCTAGTTATGATGGTCGTTGCTAAAAAAACTACGTGCCCATGTTGCCGGTTTTCACGGTTTGTTTTTGAATGTCACTGTCCACTCAAGACAAAGCCGCGCGCGAGCCAGAACCAGGAGCCGCGCCTTCTCTCCGGGAATCGCCGTCGACGGCCCGCCCCGACCTGCACCTGCTGCGCTGGCTTTCCGCTTTCCGATGTCCCCCGTGCAGAAGATCGCAAGGAGCGACTTGGCGCGGTCGGTTCGGCTAAGCCAGCTAGATTCGCGCAGCACCTGCATTCGCGCGCTCGAGCAGCTGCTTCCGATCGAGGCGCCCCACGCTCGAGAATCCTCTCCAACTAAAATGGCGCCAGCCTCTGATCCTAGCGTACACATCTACTATCGACTAACGGCGGCGCGCTGCTCAGCTCTGTTGCCTTCATCCGCATGCGGGGATCTGGCGCCCTGCAGCTGTTCGGTGAGTTGCCGCACTGGGAAGATTGCACTGCTGGCGTCCGATGCCCCGGCTCCGGCTTCAGGGTATGTTCCCTCTCGGTCAGTGATTATCATCTATTACGATTGGACAATACCTCAGGGCTAGAAAAATAGGATCGGAAAGAATCACCTATCATGCAAAATCCGTGGATTAACAAGTACTTCAGGCTGTACCTAGTGACATACTAGTATGTTTCAGTAGTAACAAATGCTTCAGTTTCCTAAATATGCACTTCAGATTCAAGTTCTTATGAGACAGAGAGTACAAATAGGATCAGAAAGCATCACCTACCTTGCATAATCAGTGGATCAATACACACACCTGCCTAGTGAGTGGACAAACAATGTTGGCATGCTCTAATTGGGAAGCAGGTTTATCCAACTACATCAACTAGACTAGGAATCTAAAAACAGGGACAGCTAGCTAGAGCATACCACCGAGCACACCAATAACGAATCACACTCGAGGATTTTCTTGGCTGCTCTGAAGCCTCTCACGAAGACGACGGCGACGACAACGATCAGACCATATTGACAGCGTCATATGGATTGCAAAGTAGCCCAGAACGGCAAGTATGAGCATACTGACATACACAGACGTCTTCCAACCCCTGCTGGAGCCGGCTGCATAGGCCACTAGGAGAGTGACCAAATCCAGCAGGATCGTCCAGTTCATCACCCTCAACGACCATTTCTCCCATTCTTCTTTCTTCCTGTTTGGCAGCCAGTGCGGCAGTAACATCATGATGACAACAATGGAAGCCACGAAGGAAAAGGAGTTGCTGTAGAAGAAGACGAGGTACCGAGGCCTCCTGATATCATGCATCACCGGATCGCCCGCCTCATATCCATTGCCACTGCTCTGCCATGCTCCGCCGGGCGGTTCCAGGCCGGCCTGGTAGGCAACGCTCGCCACCAAGATTCCTAGCAGCATCAGGTACTTGCGCCTCGCGTGCTTCTTCCTTTCTTCCTCCTTCTTCCTTTCTTCTTCTTCCTCCTCCTGTTCATGGGATATGGATGGGGCGGCAGCTGCTGAATTGTCACTATTATTTTGCTCCCTCAGCGCAAATACTAGCAGCAGTCCAGCTGCAACGAAGAGGACCGCACCGACCAACACAAAGATGTAGATGGATGTCTTGAGGTGTTGGGTGCTTCCAGCGGCGTAGGCCACCATCAAACAAAACAAGCCCACCGCCGTACAAACAGATAGCGCATTGCTTCGTATGGCTGGCCTGTATAGATTGGGGTTCACCAGGAGGAGGATGAGGGAGATGGAAAGCATGAAGCTCACCGAGTTGCAGTAGAAGAATGCCTTGTAGCGACGCGGGAAGTTGTACAAGAGGACCGGGTCGCCAGCCTGGTGCCCGAGCTTGTCATCCTGGAGCAGGAAGCCACCAGGAGGGGTGAGGCCGGCTTGGTAGGTAATGGTCGCAGCCAAGATCGCGAAGAGGAGCAACCGTTTGCGCCTCTTCTCCAGCAACTGATTTACCTGGTCGCCGTGGTGTTTGTCCTCGTGGTCCAGCGTGAAGAAGATAACATGGATCACCACATAGACCAGGACGAGGCCTGCCAAAGCGATGACGTAAATGGAGTTGTTCGCGTCCCGGCAGCTCCCGGCGGCATATGCACCAATGAGGCCAAACAGGTCGAGTATCATGGCTGCCTCCAGCACGTGGTGCTTGACCAGAATTTCCATCTGGACTAGGACAATGGCCACCAAGGAGGCCACAAAGGCAACCGAGTTGCAGTAGAAGAAGGCCTTGTATCGGCTAGCATTGGTTGTGAGAAGGATGGGGTCACCGGCCATGTGCCCGTTGGTGTTGTCCTGCCAAAGCCCTCCCGGTGGCTTCAACCCCGCTGTGTAGGTGATGGCAGCGGCAAGAGTGGCAAGCAGTAGAACAAGAGAGCGAGCCTTGTCCAGCACCTCCTTGCCACTGCACTGTATTGTACTGCAGAGAAGAAGAAACATAGTTCAGTTCAGTTTGCAGAGGATGGAAGAAACAGTGTTGCTACGAACATAGGAAACACAGTTCAGTTTGCAGACAGGAAAGGAAGAAGAGGATAATACGTATGTGCTCCTTACCTGACATTATCATCAGTCTGCTGAATTTCTTCAGTCTGTTGCGTTGAAGTGTAGATACCATAGAGTAGGATGATGTGTGCTATTGCCAGAACGGCGCCGACCAAGCTGGCCACGTAGGCGGTGGTATCGATCTCCCTGCAGCTGCCGGCGATGTATGCGCCGACGAGGCCGACCAGGGCGACCACAATGCACCCACAGAGCATGCGGGACCGAGTCGTCTTCTTCTTGCGGAGCTTCTTGCCATCGATGATGAGCAGCATGGTGATGAGAAGGGACACCACGAATGCTGTGGTGTTGCAGAGCAAGAACACCGTCAGGCGTGGGTTGTGCTGGTCCTTGAGGATGGCGTCGCCTGGGCGGTGGCTTCCCCCAGTGCTGTCCCAGAAGCCGCCCGGCGTGCTCAGCCCGGCGACGTACGTGATGCTCACCGCAAATGTAGCCAGAAGCATCAGGACCTTGCGGAGCCGTTCTTCGGCTTTCAGCTTCTTCAGGACCTTGCGGTCGCGGAACCGTTCTTCAACAGTGGCCGGGTCAGAGCCGAAGATGGGAGCGGGAATCGTGTCGGTGCCGGAGTCGGGATTGGGAGTGGGCATCATGTCGCCGGAGCCGGTGTTGTCGTTGGAGACGGGCATCCCGCCATTGCAGCTGGTGACGGGGCCGGGACTCATGCCGGTGCCGGAGTCAGGATTGGGAATGGGCGTCGTGCCACTGGAGTCGGAGCCCGTGTTGACGGGCAACCCGTCTACGGAGCCGGCGACGGGGGCAGGAATCATGCCAGCACTGGAATCAGAGTTCTTGTCCCAGCAGTCCATCAACTTGAGAACGAGGATGTAAAGGAAGACGATAGCCACAAGCACCGCGAAGTAGAAGATTGAAATCTTGTCGCGGCAGGTACCGGCACCGTACGCGCCCATGAGGCTGAGCAGGTCCAGCACCATGACTAGCCGCAGGGGCACGACAACCCATTGGCTGTCCTTCCCCTTCTTGTCGTGCCGGATGGCGAGGATGAGGATGAGGACGATGACCACGAGCGACGCGGCGAAGGCGGCGGCGTTGCAGTAGAGGAAGGCGAGGTAGCGGTGGTAGTGGGTGTAGCGGATGATGGGGTCGCCGGCGGGCTGGCCGTCGTGGGCGGCCTGCCAGACGCCTCCCGGCGGGTTGAACCCCTCGGTGTAAGTGACGGTCACCACCAGGGTCGCCAGCAGCAGGAGGTACTTCCGCAGGTTGTACTCCCAAGGCTGCACCGGCGCCATTGCCGGCTGCAGAGATGCTGCCTCTGGCTGGCCGGGCTGATCCATTGGCACTGCCGGGAGTGCCGGCTGCAGCTCCACGGCAGGGACATCACACTCCATTCTCTCACTCAACAGCTGCTGTGGTTCCGTTAATTATTGTGATGCAGAATGACGAAGGGAGCTATAAAACGACCTGACCTGGAAGCTGCCTAGCCTATTCCTCGAAGAAACGGAAGCAACCAGGTCTTCTCCGATCAAATAAACTACGCATTTCTATTTTATTTATTTTGCGATATAATCGATCGGAAACATCCCAAGGGCACGCGTTCATGTTTTTGGATGTCTTTGTGTAGATTTTCGTTGGGCAGATGTTTTTCGACCTGGTCATGATTCTCTTTAATTTTACTACTAATACAGCTTTCCTAGGTGTCAGCATTTTTTGGGGGGCACTAGCATATTTGCTAGAGACTTTCTTGTTACTTGGATCTCATAGTTTCCACCGTCCAGTGGGTGTAGCACTGTTTTCTTTTAATATCCTTAAGCTGGATTTCGAATAATAACATTTTCTCCGTCTTGTGCAAGTCATTGGTAAGACACTTCCTTTTTTTTTTTAAAGAACACAAACTGCTTTATATTGAGATAAACAAAGCATACAGCTATAGTTGTACATAACGGACTTGCAAGAGAGAAAAATAATACTGTAACTCCTAACGACATTTTCTCCGTCTTGTGCAAGTCATTGAGTAAGACAGTGACTTGCTCGACTCACCTGGTTTGAACCAACTGTGAAGTTGTGTGGCAGCGGGCGAGCAACTTCATAGATAGAGAGAGGGAGTATATAAGAATGGAGGGAATGATAGTTTCGGAGGGATTGGATGTAAGAGTTTAGATCCTAAAAGTCCCACCATTTCATTATAACTTGTGTTGTTATCCCTTGGCTAGTCAGCGAGATCCAAGAGGTGATGAAGGATGATAGGGAGATCTTCGTTACTAAGATTAGTCGTTCTCAGAACAGAGTTAGTCAATAATAGTCTCTTTCACAACAAGTACCCGTTCGAGACCAAACGGCATAGAAATACGACACATCCGATGTCCAATCTCTCGACAACTCCATTTTTAAATTCATTTCACTTTCTTATAGGTGCCAAACGGTGCTTGTAGTTCCCTTGTTTGGTCTATTTTGTTCAGGTTTATAAGACCTACATGTATTTTAAGATTAATTTTGACAATCTATTTAAGCAAAAAATATTGATTATATATCACAAAAAAGTATATTATCAAATTTGTATTTCAAAGAAGTTATTTACATGATTTTTTTTCTTTTCTTTGGATTTTCCAATTCGCTCTGGTATGTTTGTTTTTCCAGAAAAAAATAGTTTTAAAATATGGACGATTATTCAAATACATGGACATTTTTTTAATATAAAAGTGTAAACATTTAAAGAAAAGTGGAAACATTTTTAAAATTGCATAAACGCTTTAAAAACAGTTTCATCTTTTACTTTTAAAAAGTTCATCGTGTATTGGAAAAAATGTTCATCGTATATTTTGAAAATGTTCATCATAGGGGCAAAAACGTTCATTCACACATCATAAATGTTTTACTAATAGAAAGGATAAAGGCAAAGAAGGGAAATGACAAAAGAAGAACCGAGGGGAAAGTCAATAGACGAAAAGGATAAAACCTTGATTGAAACCAGCAAAAAGTTGAAATATCATGAATGAAAAATGCTGGAATCGCCAGAAAACCGCATCCCGCCAGCGAATGGAACACACGAAATGGGTTTGCCTATATGAATGTCACTCTGTGCGATTACTCGACTATATGACACGATGAGCATCACATAGGATCTATATGAAGAGGGAGATTGCCGGCAGCTGGAATTCTTCACCTAAAAGAGTTACAACAGAGATATCTATTCTACGGAGCTCCAAATAACTTGAAACTTTATGAAGATTTTTCATTGAATATAAAAAAAATACTGGAACGAAGAACTACCGGAGGGGGCCCAAAGGTACCCTTCTGTTATATGAAGCCTTTTGCCCTAGAAAAAAACAAGAGGAAGACTTTCGAAATGAAGCGCACTGTCTTGAGGCGGAATCTGGGCAGGAGCACTTTTCCTTTCCGGCGGAGCGATTCTGCCGGGGACACTTCCCTCCGGGAGGGAGAAATCGAAGCCATCGACATCACCAATGTTCCTCTCACCATGGGAGGACCAATCTTCATCAATATCTTCACCAGCGCCATCTCATCTCAAAGCCTAGTTTATCTCTCGTATTCATCTTTATCTCAAAACCTCAGATTGGTACCTATAGGTTGCTAGTAGTGTCGATTACATCTTGTAGTTGATGCTAGTTGGTTTATTTGGTGGAAGATTATATGTTCAGATCCTTAATCATATACAATACTCCTCTGATCTTAAACATGATTATGATTTGTGAGTAGTTTTGTTTGTTCTTGAGGACATGAGAGGAGTCTTGTTATAAGTAATTATGTGAAGTTGATATTTGTTTAATATTTTGATGATATGTATGTTGTTCTTCCTCTAGTGGTGTCCTGTGAAGGTCGACTACATGAGACTTCACCATGTTTGGGCCTAGGGAAAGGCATTGGGGAGTAATAAATAGATTATGGGTTACGAGAGTGACAGAAGCTTAAACCCTAGTTTATGCGTTATTTCGTAAGGGGCTAATTTGGATCCATATGTTTCATGCTATGTTTAGATTTATATTAATTCTTCTTTCATAGTTGTGGATGTTTGTGAGAGGGAGTAATCATAAGTGGGTTGCTTGTTCAAGTAAAAAACAACACCTTAGCACCAGTCCACCCACATATCAAATTATCAAAGTACTGAACGTGAATCAACTAAACATGATGAACGTGGCTAGATGAGAATTCACATGTATCCTCAAGAACGCTTTGCTCATTATAAGAAGTACTTTCAGATTGTCCTTTGCTATAAAAAGGATTGGACCACCTTCTTGCACTCTTATTATTATTGTTACTTGTTACGAATTACCTTGCAAGATAATTCGTAAAATGCTTTCTCTCTCTTGTTACGAATTTCATAATATGATGCAATTCTAATGTTTTCTCTCTCCTAAAATGCAAGATACACCAAAAGAGAGGGATTATCGGCAATTCAAATTCTGACCTGGAAAAGCTACTACAGAGATATCGATTCTCCCGGGCTCAAAATGACGTAAAAATTTATGGACATTTATTTTGAAATATATGAAAAATACAGGAAAGAAAAGTATGAAAGAAGAGCCTCGGTGGGCCCACAAGCCCTGGGGTGCCGTCACCCCCTAGGCTGTGTCACCTAGGTTTGTGGGGGACCATAGAGGCCCACTGCTAATCTTCCCCTATATGATGCCTTTTGCCCTAGAAAAAAGAGAGAAGACTTTTGGGAGCAACAACTACCATCTCAAGGCAGAACCAGGGCAGGAGCACTTTTGCTCTCCGCCAGATTCTGCCGAGGAAACCTCCCTTTGAGAGGGGGATGTCGAAGCCACCATCATCACCAATGCTCCTTCCATCGTGGGAGACCTCATCTCCATTAACATCTTCATCAGCACCATCTCATCTATAAATCCTAGTACATCCCTTGTCTTCAATCTTTGTATCAAACCTCAGATTGGCACCTGGGGTTGCTAGTAGTGTTAATTACATCTTGTAGTTGATGCTAGTTGATTTACTTGGTGGAAGATCCATATGTTTATATTGTTAAACTCATATTTATACCCATTGAACATGTTCAATGTCATGAGTTGTGAGTAGTTCTATTTTGTTTTGAGGACATGGGAGAAGTCTTATTATAAGTAATCA